GGCTTGGGTCTGGGACTCAAGTTGAGGGTTGAGGGTTTGGGGTTTGGGGTCTAGGGTTAAGGGTTGAGATATGTTGAGATTTTCGAAACTATGCCTTCGGGTTCAAACTAAGGGTCTCCACGGTAACCTGTCCCTATGGCGAGCATACAGCGACGAGGCCAATGAAACAGCAATTCCGTGAACACAGATAGCATCAATTATCGCACAACCAAGCGGCTTTGCCGGGTAGACAAGCATGATTACGGAGTTTCCTAGCAGCTTAGCTTGAGAAGGATGTCTGGTATGTCTAACAGCGATGTGTGGCGACGATAAAGATACAATACATCTCAGAATCCGTACAAGGAGCGACCGACATTGGGATTGTCTCATGGTGCGCCTGCCTGGCTCGCCCCCTAATCTAGTGGATCAGAAGAGTGGCTGTCTAAGGTCTAGGGTTTAGGGTTCAGGGTTGCAGAAAGTTCGGAACACTGCGCCGGCAAGCCCAAACCACAATTAACACCGAGAAATGCTAACAGCATAACGAACCGGGATCAGCTAAACCCAGCAATCCCAAACCCGACAAAACACAACTCTGAACTCCTGCAGATGGGACCCGACCAGAAAACCCAACCCCTAAACCCCGAACCCTAAACCCTCAACCCTCAACCCTAAACCCCGAACCCTAAACCCGAAACCCTCAACCCGAAACTTAAACCTTTGTATCGATCCTCCGGCGACCAATGGCGCTGGTAAGGACCTGGGACCTTCGCAATGTAGACCCCGGTTAAATATAGGGGCCTTAATAAATTTCAATAGGGTTTCGGGGTCCTTTATAGTATACTTATAATAAGGAACCCCAACCAGAATATAGGTAATTACTCATTATCTAGACACCTGTATAAGGCCTTCAGGGCTTCAGGGCTTTAGGGGTTATAGGGTTTGGGGCTTTCGGGTCGTTGCTTGCAAAATGTCATTCGGAAATCTTGAAATCTCGTTCATGGTGGTTTCTGGAACGGTTGCTTACATGCCACATTTGCACATGTCTTCTCCGAGGGCTTCCAAAAGAGCAGCAGAACAGCGACTTTTCCGCTGGGACATTGCAATATGTATATGAGTACACATGTATTTGCCGATGCCGTTCCATTGATCTCAAGGCCACCCAGCCAGAAAGAAAGCAGAAAGCAATCTAGGCACAAGCCTTCAGAGTCTTCAGTGGTAATAGCGCGCACATGCCAGCTGTGTCCTATGCTATTGTGCCTCTGGAGAAACGATGCAAAACGAACGTCAAGATGGAGGAGGAGATGAAACAAAAACGACGATGAGGACTTGAAAACCCGATGCCAATGAGGCCGATGATGGTGAGGATGACGTGGCGAATGACAAGGATGGTGAGGATCAAGAAGACAAAGAAGATGCAGAAGAAAAAGGTGATGCCGAGAAGACGGAGAAGGAAGGGGAGCCGGGGAGGAACAGGAGCAGGAGCAAAAGAAGGCTCGATTACAGCTGCCATGTTCAATTTGAAGATGGTGATTAGGAAGATTACCATGGCGCAGTGATGGCGATGATCATGCTGGTGACGGGCGTTGGGGCTTTGCTTACCCGGTTTGGTGACGGGCGTTGGATCTTCGATGTCGCCTGGGATGATGCAAATACTCAATGCGATAGCAATAAGGACCATCATGTTGATATTGATGGTGATGATGACGATGATGAAGATGAAGAAGAAGATGAAGATGAAGATGTAGATGA